AAATGCAGGCGAGAGTGCGATTTGCCGGCTGCCCGCGCAACCTTCTGCGGAGATCGCGCGTGTCGAGTGCGCGAAATGCAGGCGAGAGTGCGATTTGCCGGCTGCGCGCGCAACCTTCTGCGGAGATCGCGCGGGTCGAGTGCGCGAAATGCAGGCGAGAGTGCGATTTGCCGGCTGCGCGCGCAACCCTCTGCGGAGATCGTGCGTGTCGAGTGCGCGAAATGCAGGCGAGAGTGCGATTCGCCGGGTGCCCGCGCAACCCTCTGCGGAGATCGTGCGTGTCGAGTGCGCGAAATGCAGGCGAGAGTGCGATTTGCCGGCTGCCCGCGCAACCCTCTGCGGAGATCGCGCGTGTCGAGTGCGCGAAACGCAGGCGAGAGCGCGATTCGATCGGAGCAAGCTGTGGGGCTGGAAGCTGAGAACTGGCGACTTTGTAGTACAACTTTAGTACGCGGAGGAGCTGGGGAGCTGGAAGCTGAGAACTGGCGACTTGGTAGTACAACTGTAGTGCGCGGAGTAGCTGGGGAGTGGGAAGATGAGAACTGGCGACTTAGTAGTGCAACTTTAGTACGCAGAGTAGCTGGGGAGCTGGAAGCTGAGAACTGGCGATGTGGTAGTACGACTGTAGTACGCGGAGTAGCTGGGGAGCGGGAAGATGAGAACTGGCGAGTGGGTAGTACAACTTGAGGGCGCGGAGTATCTGGGGAGCTGGAAGATGAGCACTGGCGACTTTGTAGTACAACTGTAGTACGCAGAGTAGCTGGGGAGCTGGAAGCTGAGAACTGGTGTCTTTGTAGTACAACTTTAGTACGCGGAGCAATCTGTGGAGCTGGAAGCTGAGAACTGGCGACTGTGTAGTACAACTTTAGTACGCGGAGTAGCTGTGGAGCTGGAAGATGAGAACTGGCGACTTGGTAGTACAACTTTAGTACGCAGAGTAGCTGGGGAGTGGGAAGATGAGAACTGATGAGTGGGTAGTAGCTGAGAACTCGCGACTTTGTAGTACAACTTTAGTACAAGGAGTAGCTGGGGAGCTGGAAGATGAGAACTGGCGACTCGGTAGTACAACTTTAGTACGCAGAGCAGCTGGGGAGTGGGAAGATGAGAACTGGCGACTTGGTAGCACAACTCTAGTACGCAGAGTAGCTGGGGAGTGGGAAGATGAGAACTGGTGAGTGGGTAGTAGCTGCGAACTTGCGACTTTGCAGTACAACTGTAGTGCGCGGAGTAGCTGGGGAGCTGGAAGATGAGAACTGACGACTTGGTAGTACAACTTTAGTATGCAGAGTAGCTGGGGAGTGGGAAGATGAGAACTGGTGAGTGGGTAGTAGCTGAGAACTGGCGACTTTGTAGTACAACCTTAGTATGCGGAGTAGGTGGGGAGCTGGAAGATGAGAACTGGCGACCTTGTAGTACAACTTTAGTACGCAGAGTAGCTGGGGACTGGGAAGATGAGAACTGGCGACTTGGTAGTACAACTTTAGTACGCAGAGTAGCTGGGGAATGGGAAGATGAGAACTGGCGAGTGGGTAGTAGCTGCGAACTGGCGACTGTGTAGTACAACTGTAGTGCGCGGAGTAGCTGGGGAGCTGGAAGATGAGAACTGGCGACTTGGTAGTACAACTTTAGTACGCGGAGTATATGGGGAGCTGGAAGATGAGAACTGGTGACTTTGTAGTACAACTGTAGTACGTGGAGCAGTCTGTGGAGCTGGAACCTGAGAACTGGCGACTTTGTAGTACAACTTTAGTACGCGGAGTATCTGGAGAGCTGGAAGATGAGAACTGGCGACTTTGTAGTGCAACTTTAGTACGCGGAGTATCTGGGGAGCTGGAAGATGAGAACTGGCGACTTTGTAGTACAACTTTAGTACGCGGAGTATCTGGGGAGCTGGAAGATGAGAACTGGCGATTTTGTAGTGCAACTTTAGTACGCGGAGCAATCTGTGGAGCTGGAAGCTGAGAACTGGTGACTTTGCAGTACAACTTTAGTTCGCGGATGAGTCATCTCTCGCGGCTGAGTCATCTCTCGCAGCTGCTCTGGCGCCCCTGCAGCTGAGTCATGTCTCCCGACCACCCGGCTCTCTTAAAAGGTTGACACACACACAGAGACCCACGCACTGCCTCAACTTACTCGGAGACACACACACAGACAGAGACTCATACACACACAGACATAGATACACACACACAGAGACCCACACACTGCCTCAACTCACTCGACTTAACACTTCACACTGAACACTCAACAGATAACTCACACTCTGACTTCCCACGTGATGAAAAATGCTTTCGGGCCACTCGTCGTCTAGTTTTACTAACTGGTCTAAAAAGTTAGCTAACATCCTTAAATAGTTACTAACACCCAGGCCCATCTAAGTAAATCCTCTGCTCGAATGGCTTCTTCGACTGCTCAGCTCGGACGATATACAGTCTCGGAGTTGAGCTGCTGCTGCTGCCAGAGCTGCCCAGGAAGTTCACGCTCAAATTGATGCGTTCGCGATGGAGATGGCTGCCTGCAGGTGGGAGCTTCCCCACGCCCACAGAGCTTGCAACGAGTGTACCATCATGAGCACCTCGATGTACGAGCGCATTCCGCCTTCGGCGTGGAAACGCGACTGTCACCGCGAGGTCTCCCACTGGATCGTGGCCCCGCCGATCATAGCCACAAACCCTTGAACACTTTGTTCACCTTGAGGAGCGTAGCGATGTTGATCTTTCTTTTGGAAGGCCTCCCCAGCTGGGCCCACGATCACCAGGTTGGCGGAGCGTACGGCGTATAAAAGAGGAAGTGCTCCAATACGTGGTGGCCAATCAGTACCGCCCGGCCATCGCGGCCTCTTGGCCACCTCTCGCCCCATCAAGCTGACAGCGTAATTAATAAGCGAGTTCGGCCGGCTTCTAATGGATACCCGCAGAACTTCGCCCACGATACCCTGCGCCGCCTTGATCTCTTCCGCAGTCACACCTTCTTCCACCAGTTCGGTAGAGGAACAGCCCGCTTCTCCACAATGTTGTGGCGCTGCGCCAAACCCTCCAAATAGGACGGTTGTCGCAGAAGTAGACCACCATCTTTGGCCTTGATTTCATAGCCGCAGAAACGTGCCCAGCTGTGCTCATCCGTCTTCAACCCGTCCTGAGCGGTCTGACCTCCTAGAACTAAGGGGTCATCAACGTACACCAAAAGGAGTGCAGCCACCTTGTTAGTCTCCTTCTCAACAATGCGCCGCAAATTGAAGCTGTAGGCGACACCACCTTCTTCCCAAGCCATCTCCAAGGACCTGGTCTCTGTAGATCGCCCAATCCCATGACCTCTTACTGCCTGAGCCTCCCTTCTTCCAGCGCGCATCTTACCTGGAGCCAGCTCCAGGAGCCTCTCGTCTCTCTGCATTCATTGCATCCATGTGTTTCTAATCGCAAGCAAGTGTTTGAAGCACTTTTGGGGGAGAACTGAATGCAACAAAAACGGTTTCAAACGGAAGACAGCTTCTGGAACGAGAAACAGCGTTCCAAACGAAAGAAGGCTCTTGAAAATGAAGCTCGCGCGATTGAAGTGCAAGGAAAGGATTGAATCGCGAGGACGGTTTTGAAACAAAAGGGGAACTAAAAGCAACATGTTGTCATTAGAAGAAAAGGTCTGAACCCAGAGGCAGGATTTGAGAAATACATTTTCTATCATAGCATTGGAAAATGAGAGCTGTTCGATTGAAGTGCAAGGAGAGGGTTGAATCGCAAAAAATGAAACAGTTGAAAACGAAAAACGCGCGCGCGCGATTGAAGCGCGAGGAAAGGATTGAATTGCGGGGAGGGCGTTGAAACCGACGGGAAGCTGAGTGGAAAAAAGAAACCGTTTTTAGATGGAAGAAAGATTCTGAAACGAGAGGCAGGATTCCAGAAAGAAAGCAATAATTGCAATTGAAAACGAAAAACGTGCGATTGACAAGGACAGGATTTAATCGCAAGGAACGGTCTGAAACGCATGGAAGAAATGAGGGCGAAAGGAAGGTTGAAAACCGAAGAAAGGTTGTGGAACGAAATGCGGCGTTCCGAACGAAAGAAGGCACTAAGCGCTAGGAAGGGATTGAATAATTAAGCGCAAGGTTTTTTTGGAATGAATGAACAGTTCGAAAGGAAAAGATACGTCTTGTTAGCGAAAGAAAGCTTCTGTAACTAGAAGCCGGGCTCCAAACTAGACGACAGGGTGGCCCGAAAGCGCAGCAGGGAGACGACAGAGGGTAACGATGAGGATGAGGATTGAAGATGGTGTTGGTAATTATGAGGCTGCTGATGCTGATAAGGCTGATGATGATAATGATGATGATGAGGGTGGTGATAACATGATGAGACTGACGAGGATGATGATGATGGTGGTGGTGGTGGCGGTGTGTGGCGATAACCTGATGATATTCATGATGATGGTCCGTGATGATGATGGTGATGATGACGATGGTGGTGATAACATGATCATACTGATGATGATGATGACGACGATGGTGACGGTGATGATGATGATGATGATAAAGAACATACTAAGATGCGAAAAGTCACCGTCAACGACGCGTTTACGCCAGCGTGTTTTCCTTCCCCCAGCGGCGCAGACTCATGCGAACGCACCTTCCACCGAGGCCGCGCAAAACCACATGACGCAGCGACATCAAAGGCATGCCACTAGATGCAACAATGACTTGACCACGCACTTCCCGCACGATGCCAAACGAACCCTGACGTTGGGGCTTACCAGGGGAGATATAACGTGTACAAGTTGTGCTGGGGTACCTTGCTAGGTGTAAGTTGCATTGTCTACCCCCTTCACGGTAGCGAAAATTCTTTGATTCACCTTTTCATCATCATTTTTCTTTAATTTGCTTGGTCTTTCTTGCTGGGTTGTCGGTTTCAATGTTCGTTCCGAGATGCAGTTTTTTGTTTCTACGTAGTGTTATGTGGGCTTGCGCAAACCTCCTCACGCATGCAAGCACTTCTGTGATGCTCATGGCGCCTGAGGCCCAAGCAAAACTCAGTGTCCCGCGTTTTGCTACAGTTGATGTGACGTCTGTTGCCGACTCAGAAAACGTGAAGCTGCTTTGCCATGCCTTGCAACGTATGTTTACAATGCATTTGGCCATTGGCAGCATTTGGCTTCTGTCATTTCTGCGTCAAAACCGTGTGAGGACCTTGAGGATCTACCACCCGAGGACGCCGCGCGCGCGGTGGCGGTGCAGGGTCTGGCTGCGGCCACAGAGGTGGCGCTGCGAAACCTTGCTGAGGCCAGAACAGTCAAAAGAACGAGTTTGGGCAATCCAAAGTGGAAAATGTTTCATGGGTTGTCCAGTTCTCCGTGCATTTTCATTGCTGAACATTTGGAAATGCGACAGGACGGTTCTGGTGCGGAGAGCTTGGGTGCGTTGGACGCTGGGTGTGCATTTTGCTATCGCAACATGGAGATTGTATTTGTTAAACTTATTTAAAGCAACGTCCTTTTTCAGTGGGCGTCATTTCTGTTGGCCAAGAGACTCCCACCAAAGTCACTGCTTCCCTACCCCGCCCATCGATGTGAGTGGTCCGCAGGCCCTTTGTGCGCCCGCCTAAACCAGGGAAGGCTGCAACGCAAAGGAAATTTGCAAGCCTTCAGGTCGAAGGCGAAAAAAGGAAAGGGAAACGTCGGTAGCTTCATCCAAGAGCAAAAAGCCTTCAGCCGCTGCCCTTCATTGCCTTCAATCATTGGCAGGGATCTCTTTCGCTGACATCAAATCTCGGACAAAATGGAACGGGTCCGGGGCGACGATCGGTATGCCAGCAAGCAGCAAGATTCTCCCAATAGGCGGCCAAGTCTGAATGGCTAAAGCTAATGGTCCGCCACGCTTGAAAAAGTCCAGAGTTGTGTCCCCTTTTTTTGTAAGACACGGAAAGAATGGTCAAACACACCAAAGCAAAGGACACCGGTTCTGGAAGAGGCCATGGAAAAACTAACTACCCATCCAAGGCCAGAGTTTGCCGAAGTGGCCAATCAGGTGAAGCCAGCAAGCAAGCGTCAAGCAAGCCAAGCACACAAAACTGAGAAGCATCCTACGCTGAGCACTACATTTTCAGGCAAATCTAGCCTCCCTAGCCGAGCTGCTCGACCGAGTAACAATCCTGTAAGAGGACCAAACGGGCGCCCGTAATAGGATCCACAGAGCCGCAACTGAAAGTTTCTGAATAAAGCTGCAAACACTTGTGGCAAATGGCATAGAATACCATAATCAAGTCATTGACATACCGCGCGCCAAAGCAACTCTTCCAACCAACCATCCAGTATGCGACGACCAGACAAGGTTTCCGCGTAGAAATCAAGTTGTTCTTCTTCCAGGCTAAGCAGGCAAATCATTGCAATCATTATGACCAGGCCTTCGGTGGCCACCAGAGTGCAAGGCCTGCAAGTCGTAGAAAGCAGCTCGCCTGAAGCGTTCGACGCAAGCGCCAAGTTGTAAACGTCACGCACTTCCGCCCCGGCTTTGACAACACGACCCTTGGCCGCTGTAATCGCGCCCCCACCTCTTGCGCTGCGCAGCGCTCCTTTTGCATCAAAAACCAACAAAACGAATGATGTGTCTAGTTGCTTGTACATCTACGCAGCATCTGCAATCAGAAGCGAAGAGAAAGGCTTACCAGCTCCGCATAGAATGCGCTGACGTGGCTGTTGGGGAACTCGAAGTCTATCCGTTCATGTTTGCCCGAAAGAGTGATCTGATTGAGTTGCCAGACTGAAAACCCGGCTCCTGTACTGCAGATGAGGATTTGGGTTGCCCTTTCTGCCACTCTCCAAGCTCGCCTCCAAAGTGTTTGGAAAAGCGACGCAACTTTCTTCATTATAAGTGCAGACGTGTGCGCGCTTGCTTCCCAGTGCGGGCCCAACAAAGACATGAAAACGGCCGCAAAACACCGAACCGACATTGTGATTTCTTGTCTTTGTTTTTGTCTTTGTCGTCTTGAAGGCGCACTTCATGTTGTTGCTGAGTCATGTCAACAATGCATAAGCTACTTCTGCAGCAGCAGCCCGTATGCCTGTTGAATAGTCAGCCGACCGAAGCCGCCAACAACATCTCCTCACTTTTCTCGGGATGTGATGTGCACTGACGCATGCCTGAAGGTCCTGCTCGACCTGACTGCTGTGGAAGCAACAAAGGATAGTTCCCGGTCTTGGGTTGCCCAATTTTCCAGGAAGCACTTGACAGTGTGAGTCGCTCCGACTGCAGACAAGGAAACATTGACAAGGCCGCAGCAAAATTCTGCTCGGGCATCCAGTGGAACATGACCTACTGCCTCTTGCGCGGTGCCGGAGCCTGAATTGCTTCAAGCAAGAGTTTGTCCACCTGCCCACGCGCGACTGTGTTTGACGTTGCCCCCACGCCAGCGCAACCAAGGATGCCAGTCACGCAACGGCTTGCGCCGGGCGCTAACGACCCACAACTCATCGGGAACCCAAACTGGCAGCCTTTGCGCGCGTGCCCACAGAGGGTTTGCCAATCAAACGCACGCGTAAATGTCGCTGAAGCAAGAAAAATGTCACATTCACCCGGACTCTTTTGCCGCGGTGTTCCCACCGAAGTCATTGATTCTATTCTTACCCAGCCCATCGATGCACGTGGCCCCAAGAGCGCCGGCCCGGGCCTAAACTGGGTATAGGGCCGCGAAGCCTGCAACGCAAAGGAATTTCCCCAGCTTTCAGGGCGAAGGTGAAAAAGGAAAAGGAAACGTCGATCGCTTCATCCGAATCCAATAACCAAAGCCTTCAGGCCATCATCGCCTTCGTTGGCTGGGATCTTTTTTGCTTACATCAAATCTCGGATAGAACATAACAGACCCACGCGGGCCCTGGGGTGATGATCGGTGCGCCAGCAAGATTCTCCCAACAGGCGGCCAAATCTGAATGGCTAAACTTGATTGCCCACCATGATGGACCATGCCTGAAAAAGCCCGACAGTTCTTGGCAATGGAAACGACAGTTCTTTGCAATGGAAAAGAGACCCGCATTAATTTCTTGAAATTTTTAGCTGTCTCAAGCGTCGTTGCATTTTTGTTGCTGCTTTGGCTTTGTCCGGTTGATGTTTCCGTCATTGATTGACAAAGGAACGCGATAACTTGCTGCGTGGCCCATTGTTCGATATAGAATCTGCTTCTCAGCTTTTTTGGTTTCTTTCCATGTTCAACAAGTGAAGGCAGAGGTCACTAAGGTTCAAGTTCAATGTTTATTTCTTATTGTTATTTTTTGGTGTGTGTGTGTGGGGGGGGGGGTGAGGTGGGGCAGGCAGGGTTCCTTCATCATGCCTAGACAAATTTTCATGGAAAGGGGTTTCAATGCCATTTCATTTCGTAGAAACAGTAGCCCTCCTCAAAAAAGAAAGCGTTGGCGACCAAACATGGGGTGTATCGTTTTCCATTTTCTGTTGATGAAGAAGAAGGACATAGTGCAGTAGCACTTCCTTGATCTGCTGAATGTCATGTGACAGAACCAACTCACGAACTGTCTTGTATCGCCTGTGCGTTTTTCGTCGCCGCCGAATTTCTTCTATGTAAAAATAACACCGAAGATGAACCTTATTCAAAGCCAAAGGGTTTGGGCCCCACCAATCGTGCGTGTGGTCGTAGGTTCACGCGCTGAGTGGTTCCTTCTAACAAGCCCAGCAGGAATCCGTATATAGAGCAATCCTTTCGCGCCGGATTGAATGAGACACTACCTTCGGCTCAAGTGCCCAAATTGTGAGGGCGGTCGGAAGAGCACTGCCATAGCGTTCTTGACTCGAAACGCCCAAGACCTTGGAATGTCGGGGCTATCAGTTTGATTCATCAGAGATCTCAAGGTTCATGTGGAGTAGCTGCGTTTTCTCCTAATGTGGGTATATTTCAGTGTTGGAAGGGAAAGAGGGCGACGTTCGATATGGACATTGACATGCAAAGGACTTGTCAAGCGACCTTGAGGCACTATCGTGCTGTGGACCGTTTTCTAGAAAGGCAAGCTAAACAAAGATCGCGGTGCTGCCTGGTCTCAGCACCATGCATTGTCCTTGAAAAACTTGAAAGCCGCTAGCAATGAATGCATGCTTATAGGACCCGTGGGCATGTCATGAGACATGCTCAAGAACACGTTAGGCATCGTGATATGTATCCAGAAGCGCGCGTTGGCGCCCGCAAGCATGGTTCAACTGGCTGCAATCCCAAGTGGAACAAGCGACCGCTGTCGATCTGCTTGGAGTGTTGCAATCAACATACGGTTGCCACAAGGCGCCGGGACACCCTGCAAAGACAGAGAAGGGTGACAAAGCGCAGAAGGAACCCTGACAGACAAGCCTTCGAACGAACCTGCCCACTGACACGGTTACGGGCGCTCCCGGCGCAGTCAAAGGGCGCAAAGGCCCGACCGATTCTCTGGCCAAAGGAATGTATATACGTCTCCCAAGAGTTGGAAGGGCTTGAGTCTCAGCAAAGGGCCGGTTCAATTGAAAGCGGCGTGTAGCCTTTGGGCTTCGCCAATCGTCGAAGGCGTTGCGGGAGGAAGACGCGAAAGAGCGAAATTTGTCTGTCCCACGAGTCCTGAAGAGACACCAAATTCGTAGCTGACGTGAATAGGCGTGATTATAAAGGGTGGCAAACCCTACGACCGCAAAACTGCTTATTGTGTCTATAGTATATCTTATTCAGCAACGCCAGCATTCTCGCATTTTTTGGTTCCAAACCTCTTGACGTAGAGAGGTTCGCTCATGAAAGACGCCTTCGAATTAAGCAATCAAGACTTCCCTCGAAGAAAGCCAAAAGGCGACGAAAGGGCAATCATTTTTGCGCCGAAAAGAGACGGACGTTTGAGCTGCCCCTTTGAAGAGCGCGCCTGACTTATAGAACACGATGGGGCTGAAGGGGGTGGCTTGTTGAAGGGGGACGCGCAAAGGATGAACTTTCTTGAAGGTGTTCGCAAAGTGATTTTTTCTTCCGGTGATATGGGCAGGAGTCATCCGGTGAGAAGGACGACAAAGCAGTTGTCAATTTTCAAGTGATTGTGAATCTAAACGCGCCCGCTTCCCAAAGAATTGGCGTTGTGAAGCGTGAGAGCCAAAATACCATCGCAGAAAGATTACGCAGAAAGACTGGATCCAGACCCCGAAGCGCCCAGCGCGCCCGAAGACTTTTTGTCAGTTCCTCATTTAACGCAATAAACAACTTTGTAAAAATCATATCAGGTGCACCAACAAGGCACACCTACGCGTATTAAATTTTAGGACAGGAGAGCTCTTTGGCGCCCCTAGCCCTGCTCACGCTATAAGAGCATACTTGATGTCGTATTCACGTCAGTTCCTGAGGCATGGCTGGCGTCCAGCGTCTGCGTACAATGTCAGAGTTGCAACACCACCTAGGGGTCCACGGCTGGCTTGTGGTGGCAATGCAATCAAAATAGCCGCTTATCACGCGCGGCCGACCATTTGCAGCAAGGCACCTGGTCAGGTCTGTTGTGCTCTTGAGAAGGCCCAGTCAGCGCAGCCGAGCACTCCACAGCAATTTTATCGGTGTCGCCTGTCACGTGTCCGTTCTCTGCCCAGTTAATTTTAACGAGGAAGTCTTCGCTCACATATGCTGTGGAGGTGGCTTTTGGCGCCCGAAAGCTCCTTATATACTCTGAGCTCATCTTCTGTGAAGTTTCAAGTCTCAGTCATTGCGGTGCCTTTGCCGTCCTTCGAAATTGAATCTCTTCTGACTGGCGTGGGTTTCGCCGCAATGAAATCGCGCCCCACAGTGCAGTGTGTTCAGAACGGGGTATTGGCAGCAACGTGTCATCAGCGCGCAACGTCAGAAGTAAATGGCAAGAATCTTGACTGGAAGTTGTCACACAGTCCCAGCGATATCCCACTTCGGGATGTCTTCCACACAGGCGAGGGCAAGGTCGCTTGATGTTTTTGAACTCTCGCGGTCGCAACCCATCGGCAAGTTCAAATATATTGGTTTGGAGCCGAATTTGTGTATAGGCCCGGGACATCCCACTGGCGTGTTGAATTTCCCTTCATCGTGCGCGGTGCTAAGTTCATATTGATCATTGCTCTCCCAGCAGAGTTGACTTTGGCTTCTTGAAAAGAAGCAAGGTTATTCTCTTGGTCTCTGTTACAGAGTCTCTGTTATCAGAAGCAGTATTCTCACTTCGTGGCGATGCAATTCTACATTCTCCCAGGATAGTCATTAGCTGTCCTGCGCAAATAAGTTCATACTGTTGATTGGGTGTTCTCAATTGTAGACAATACGCTCAACAATGTTAAACTTAACGTGGCTGAATATGGTTAGTATAATTCCTTGATGGCATTTTGTTTGCGCCAACGCAGTCAGTCACGGCAGCAGCGCAAGCGGTTGTCAAGGGAAAGGTAGTGAAGGTCAAAGAAGAGCCCAATGGTGACAGACAAGATCAAAGCGTGTTGACTCAAGGTTGAGCGCAAGGCCAAGGTCTCGGTGCGCTACTAAGTTTTGGGGCGCGCTGACCCTGGGTTGAAGGACAAGACTGGCTTGTGAGTTCTTTGCTCTTCGTTGCAGAAGCCTCCTTTTTGGTGAGACAAAACACCATAGATTGAACCATAGCCTTTAGAACCATTTGATGTTCCAAGTGGCGCAGCTTCTTCAGACGCCTGTGGGGTCGCGTGAGTTTGAGAAGCTTGCGCAGTTCTCTTGTGATGATGACTGGCACGCCGAAGACGATGTCCAGAAGAAACCTCTGATTAGGTGCCCTGCAGCGCAGAACGAAATCCCACCAAGGAGATGCGCGTGTCTGGAGGGGCCCTTGTCAAGGTCAAGCCCAAGCTGCGCCTAATTTGTTTGCGCGTTTGGTGGAGCCTTCGCGCCATTACCAGTGTGGCGCTATCGTGACGAAGACTTTGGGCGTGGGTGGCTCGCCTGGCCAAAAGCGAACCCTACATCAGAAGGGTAAGGAAGGTGAGGGCGGGCTTCGCTTGAGCGCCAAGGAGCCATCCTGTCATTCAACTATAGCTGTTGGAGCGACAAAGAGAACTCGCGTGGCTGCAGCCCCGGTTCACAGCTCTTTGGTGAAGACTGCTGCATGATCTTGGATGGACCAGTCAAGCTAGTGTGCGCGCAGGACAATGCGTCGGGGTGCTCGGCGCTCGGCGAAGCTCAGGCATGTGAAAAGCTCATAGACTAAACAACGCAAGCCTTTATGAAGGGTGTCAGGACCAAGGTGATCTTGGACCATTGCAAACTGCATTGCAAAGAGCCGGTCCAATTGCCACCTGCGCTAGGAGAACAAGAATGCCCCAACCTCTGCCGAGCCATGTGTGAAGGGGAGAAGAAAGACACGGTGCACATGTAAATGTAGCGCTTTCTTGATCTGCTGAAGTCATGTTGTTCTGTATCACCAACTGCCTCACGCCGCCTGTGCGTTTTGTCTCTATATCAAAAAGAACCGCAGACGAACCCGTTTCAACTCCAAGGGTGCGTAGCCTTTAGGCTCCACCAATCACGCACATGTTCGTAGCTATGTGGAAACCCGTAGAGCAAACCTTGCGCGCCGGGCTGAAAGAGACATCGCCATACTTCTTGGCTCCAAAAAACGCAAGCGCTTCGGAGCGCTCGGAGCGGGGTGTCGTCCAGCGCTGTTTATTAGACTGTATTCTTATGTTTTCTTAACGGTTCGTTTATCCAGAATTCACATATAATGGTTGAGGTTCTCGCAGCCAAGGCTGTCCTCCCAGACGTATCAGTTTGGATCGACTGCTCCGGCTGCGTTTGCTTGCTGCGGCTGACAACGGAGCGCGTGCATGAGGCAGGGTGAGATCTCGCGCTTTGATGGGCTTTCCGTTTTTATTTTGGGGGCGCGAAAACCTTCAGATTACGCTTTGCCCAAAACCACTCGAGAGAGAGAAAACCAAGTTGAGAACAAGAAGGGCTCAGGCAGAGCTACGCTAGATATTGACAAGCCAATAGACCCAGAGGAATCAAGAAGAGCTGAATAAGAAGGCTTGAACCAAATCAGTAATGACTTGAACCAATCACAAAGCGAGGTGCGCTTTGTGAGAACTGGGGCGGGCGATGGAAGATTGACAGGCCCTGACAACACGCGTGCATAATTGTAAACTAGACGACGAGTGGCCCGAAAGCATTTTTCATCACGTAGGAAGTCAGAGTGCGAGTTATCTGTTGAGTGTGCAGTGTGAAGTGTTAAGTCGAGTGAGTTGAGGTAGTGTGTGGGTCTCTGAGTGTGTATTTGTGTCCGTGTGTATATGAGTCTCTGTCTGTGTGTGTGTCCGAGTAAGTTGAGGCAGTGCGTGGGTCTCTGTGTGTGATGTGTGTGTATGAGTCCCTGTCTGTGTGTGTGTATGTCCATGTCTGCTGGTGACTATTAGCGCGCAGGCCTCCCAAACCCCCCACCGGCGGCCAAGCGGTGACAGCCCAGCTCATCGTCGTGAGCATTTGGGCTGCTGGTAAGGGGAGAAGCAGCGTGCGCGCCTCCAGGAAATCTCACTGAAAAAAGCAAGCTGGGCTGGAATGAAGCGTACTAAAGTTGTACTACAAAGTCGCCAGTTCTCATCTTCCAGCTCCACAGATTGCTCCGCGTACTAAAGTTCTACTACCAAATTGCCAGTTCTCATCTTCCAACTCCCCAGATACTCCGCGTACTCAAGTTGTACTACCAAGTCGCCAGTTCTCATCTTCCAGCTCCCCGGATACTCCGCGTACTAAAGTTGTACTACCAAGTCATTGTACTACCAAGTCACCACTTCTCATCTTCCCACTCCCCAGATACTCCGCGTACTAAAGTTGCACTACCAAGTCGCCAGTTCTCATCTTCCAGCTCCCCAGCTACTCCGCGTACTACAGTTGTACTACAAAGTCGCCAGTGCTCATCTTCCAGCTCCCCAGATACTCCGCGTACTCAAGTTGTACTACCAAGTCGCCAGTTCTCATCTTCCCACTCCCCAGCTACTCCGCGTACTAAAGTTGTACTACCAAGTCGCCAGTTCTCATCTTCCAGCTCCCCGGCTACTCTGCGTACTAAAGTTGCACTACAAAGTCGCCAGTTCTCAGCTTCCAGCTCCACAGATTGCTCCGCGTACTAAAGTTATACTAGAAACTCGCCAGTTCTCAGCTTCCAGCTCCACAGCTACTCCGCGTACTAAAGTTGTACTACAAAGTCGCCAGTTCTCAGCTTCCAGCTTCACAGATTGCTCCGCGTACTAAGTTGTACTACAAAGTCGCCAGTTCTCAGCTTCCAGCTCCCCAGCTACTCCGCGGACTGCAGTTGTACTACAAAGTCGCCAGTTCTCATCTTCCAGCTCCCCAGCTAGTCCGCGTACTAAAGTTGTACTACAAAGTCACCAGTTCTCATCTTCCAACTCGCCAGCTACTCCGCGTACTAAAGTTGTACTACAAAGTCGCCAGTTCTCATCTTCCCACTCCCCAGCTACTCCGCGTACTAAAGTTGTACTACAAAGTCGCCAGTTCTCAGCTTCCAGCTCCCCAGCTACTCCGCGTACTACAGTTGTACTACAAAGTCGCCAGTTCTCATCTTCCAGCTCCCCAGCTAGTCCGTGTACTAACGTTGTACTACCAAGTCGCCAGTTCTCATCTTCCAGCTCCCCAGCTACTCCGCGTACTAAAGTTGTACTACAAAGTCGCGAGTTCTGAGCATCCAGCTCCACAGCTACTCCGCGTACTAAAGTTGTACTACAAAGTCGCCAGTTCTTAGCTTCCAGCTCCACAGATTGCTCCGCGTACTAAAGTTGTACTACAAAGTCGCGAGTTCTCAGCTTCCAGCTCCCCAGCTTCTCCGCGTACTACAGTTGTACTACAAAGTCGCCAGTTCTCATCTTCCAGCTCCCCAGCTAGTCCGCGTACTAAAGTTGCACTACAAAGTCACCAGTTCTCATCTTTCAACTCGCCAGACACTCCACGTACTAAAGTTGTACTATACCAAGTCGCCAGTTCTGATCTTCCCACTCCCCAGCTACTCCGCGTACTAAAGTTGTACTACCAAGTCGCCAGTTCTCATCTTCCAGCTCCCCAGCTACTCCGCGTACTAAAGTTGGACTACAAAGTCGCCAGTTCTCAGCTTCCAGCTCCACAGATTGCTCCGCGTGCTAAAGTTGTACTAGAAACTCGCCAGTTCTCAGCTTCCAGCTCCACAGCTACTCCGCGTACTAAAGTTGTACTACAAAGTCGCCAGTTCTCAGCTTCCAGCTCCACAGATTGCTCCGCGTACTAAAGTTGTACTACAAAGTCGCCAGTTCTCAGCTTCCAGCTCCCCAGCTACTCCGCGTACTATAGTTGTACTACAAAGTCGCCAGTTCTCAGCTTCCAGCTCCACAGATTGCTCCGCGTACTAAAGTTGCACTACAAAGTCACCAGTTCTCATCTTCCAACTCGCCAGACACTCCGCGTACTAAAGTTGTACTACAAAGTCGCCAGTTCTCATCTTCCCACTCCCCAGCTACTCCGCGTACTAACGTTGCACTACCAAGTCGCCAGTTCTCATCTTCCAGCTCCCCGGCTACTCCGCGTACTGAAGTTATACTACAAAGTACACCTCTCGCCTGCCTTTCGCGCGCTCGACACGCCCAATCTCCGCAGAGGCGCTCACACCCCACCGCGCTCTCGCCTGCGTTTCGCGCACTCGACACGCACGATCTCCGCAGAGGGTTGTGCGCACAGACCCAATCGCACTCTCGCCAGCATTCCGCGCACTCGACACGCACGATCTCCGCAGAGGGTTGTGCGAGTAGCCGGTAAATCGCACTCTCGCCTGCATTTCGCGCGCTCGACACGCACGATCTCCGCAGAGAGTTGCGCGTGCACACACCCCATCGTGCTCTCGCCTGCATTTCGCGCGCTCGACACGCACGATCTCCGCAGAGGGTTGCGCGCGCAGCCGGTACATCGCACTCTCGCCTGCATTTCGCGCGCTCGACACGCGCGATCTCCGCAGAGGGTTGCGCGCGCAGCCGGCAAATCGCACTCTCGCCTGCGTTTCGCGCACTCGACACGCACGATCTCCGCAGAGGGTTGCGCGCGCAGCTGGCAAATCGCACTCTCGCCTGCATTTCGCGCACTCGACACGCACGATCTCCGCACTTAGGGGAACCCTGTGCCTGCTAAGTACTTAGAAAGGTTATCTTACTTAACTAGATGTATGTTAGACATATGTTAGATGTATGTTAGAAGCATGTTAGATACATGTTAAATGGTTAGGGCTTTTAGGAAGGTTAGCTAAAGAAAAACAAGTTAGGCTAACTTTGTTAACTCTGCTAACTTTTAGCAGGTGGTTAGCTCAAAAGTTAACTAAGTTAGGTCAAAAGTTAGCTAAGTTAGCCATTATTTTGGAACCACTCTAAAATTTCTTTTGTTTGTGTAATTTTTGATACAAAAAACATTTGCAATAATGCAAACAACTTACCAGAGAAATGAAATATCGCAAGATCAGCCAAAAAATACAACATGAGTCAATTTTGTAAACCACCAAGCTGAAAGCAATCAACACCTATCATAATGATATTTTTGTTAAAGGCCAGTGCTGCTAATTGAAATGCTTTGCGCTGTTCGCTTTTTTTGTGCCAGCAAGCTTTTATGGGCTGTGGAAGCGTTGCCTTTTCTTGCAAGCATTGGCTGCTTCCTTTTTGCAAGCTGGAGATGGCTAAGTACAAGCACTTGGTTGCTCTTTTGTGCAAGCACTTGATTGCTTTTTTGGTGGAAGCCTTGGCAGGCTTTTTGAAGCGCCTGTGTTGGCTTTTGGATTGAAGCCTTGGTGGCTTCTGTGTGATGCACTTGTTTGTTTTTTGTCCCTGCAGCTGTGGCACAATACTTGAACCATGGTTCAACATGAACCTCCACAAAGCAAGCAGAATGTAAACTTGCAGAATGATGCCATCGCAGCGTTTGAACATGTTGAAGTCGTCACATGAGACACTCACAACCACCTGCACACAGAATAAGACTTGGTGCTAGTGCTGCCATGACCTCAGTGCCTGAGCATTTTGTGGAGAAACTTGATGAAGTGATGAACAATGAAAATGTACCTATATTGAAAAGAGTTGATCAACTGTGTGAAATGCTACAGAAGAATGGATATGGGTACACAGCAATGGTGAAGCCAAGAGAGACATTGGCTCATCCCTCCAACAGAGGAGGCTCTCTTTTGAACCCAATTGATATGTGGGAGAAGGGATTGAGAATGGTGTCAGTGGGGGTCAAGCCTACATTGCTCGAAGGAAATGGCATGGCCTTTGAAATGAGCACTGACCAGGATACCAGACTTGCTCAAATCCAGGCCAATGAAAGTGTTGTGAGGGCAGCAGATGGGTGCCTTGCAAAGGTGACAATGGAAGAGCGTTTCCTGACTGTTGCAACTTCTCACACTGCTGCCTTCTGCAAGGCCATTGAGCAAGGACTGAAGAGTTGTGAAGGAGTCTCAGTGGACACAAAATCAGACAATGGATTGTACAAATTGGTCAATGAAGGCTGGCCAATGTTTGTCATCAGTGAGAAGATTGAAAGGAGCATGCCTTCATTGCCTTCTTGGCTGCAAATGGCAATGAACTCAATGAACTTGGGCTTCAAGCAGGTCAATGAAATTGAAGCAGCAGCTTTAATGTCTGACTTCATCAAGCATGGCAAAAGCTTGAGTGAAGCCAGAGCTGCAGTGGAGAAGTCCGACCCTCTTTGCAAGCCCCAGCTGGGTGCCATTGCTTACTATGTGGGCAGATATGGAGGTGGTGAGCAACAAGGCCTACTGCAGTTTCTCTCCCAGTTCAGTGTCTTGGCCACATGTTT